AAAAAAAAAAATTTTTTTTTTTCCTTTTTGTCTTTTTTCGTGTCCGGCAACAGATCGCAACCCTCAGTGTCGCGCCCGTACCGGACCGGGACCGGCAACGGAATCGCAACCCTCGGTGCTGCTCCCACACCTCGCTCAGCCAGTGAGCGGGAACCGGTCTGTATGTGGGATCCGAACCCTCGGCAGGAGCGCCACCACGCTCCCAAGCGGCGCACTGTAGCAGTGCGCCACTGGGCCGGCCCTTAATATGATCTGTCATCAAAACTGACTTTGCTTGACAATTGTTCTCATTGTTATTAAATCTATATGCCCTAAAAATGTGATTTTAAAAACAAAAGATACCAGTTCTGTGATAATTATCATATTTCATCTATTCTGTTACTTCATTAGGCAAAGATCTGAGGAAACTGACAGAACAAAGCTTGGAAACAGTGGTGCTCATTGCTGCTATCAAGCAGTTTCTTGATGCCCCCACACACACCGTCCACCACCAGCCTTAGCGTTCAGTCTCCCTTCTCTCCTTTCCCCAACCTTCAGAGTGCAGCTCAAGTGCCCTCCCCTACCACACAGCCTGTCCCTTGGTGAAGCCTTACCCAGCCACGTGCATCCTACCTGCCTGTGAACGCAAGAACTCTTGCAGCAGTGTTTCTCCAAGTGAGGTCCACCTGCCACCTGCATATCACAATCATCCCACACGATTGGTCAAAAGGATATTTCTGTGCTTCACCCCAGACCTACTGAATCAGACCCTCTGAGGGTGGAGCTTCAAGAGTAGGCATTTTGAACCCCCTATGCCCAAATTTAGAAATGACACTATCTTATATTTATGATCTGTACTTTAGAACCAGATTACATGTTCTCGAATTATTTACAATTAGCTCAGATGCCCACATACCAATTTGCAGAGACTAACAAACAACTCAACATTCCTACGTGGCAAAACATAATGCCTTAGCTGCAGCACCTGAGAAAAACCTTTAAGGGTTTTAGTTGACCACAAACTCAATGAGTCAGTAGTGTGATATGGTTGGCATAAAAGCAAATTCTAATTTAGGCCACAGAGATAAAAGTAGAGTAGATGGAACAAAGGAATGTCCCATGCCACATCAGAGCACATCTACTTTACAGTGCTCTGTTTAGTTTTAGGACCCGCACTTTAAAAGAGACCTAATTGGCACACGTTCAGAGGAAAATACTAAGTAGGTGAGAGGCACACAGAACATGCTGCAGTGATCCACTCTTTTATGGATGCAGATCTTATCCCATGAGGACTATGGCCCCAGAGGATTACCCAATAAGAGCAACTAAATCTCAGTGGCCTTCAGCGGGTGGCACCACAGGGAGAAGCCAATGTTTGTCAAGAGTTTCTCTGACCAGAAGCTATGGGAGGCTCTTCTCGTAATTCTAAGATGGAACTGACAAGACTTGGTACAGACTTTCTGTTCTGTGTTTCCAATATTGAGAGGCAAATAAATGATTCTGCATTTGGCCTGGGAATTTTCTAAATTAATCATAATATCTTGGTCAAATAATTGTAATATATCTCTAGGAAGTCGTCTGAGTGTACAACATAATCATGTCTTTAATATGAACTCTGTCATAATTATAAAGAAAAAGTAAAGGGGATTTTTTTAAAAAAGAAAGTGAGTTTGTTATTATCTATGGAAAAATTCTCTTCCAAAGTTTTCACTATGTGAGGAGCATCTGTTTGGTAAAACATGTGCCTGCACTGTCACCAAAGTGTTTATACTTTTTTTGCATGTTCATAGGATGGCGGCACTGCCCTGTTGGCTGCCAGTCAGTACGGGCACATGCAGGTGGTGGAGACCTTGCTGAAGCATGGAGCCAACATCCATGACCAACTTTATGTGAGTGTGTTCCCAGGGGACATCAGGTGGCTACTTGCTCATTCCCTCATCACTCATAATATTGCAGTCTAAATTTGAAATGCCAATTTTCAAAAACTTTTTTTTTTTTTGTCATTTGAAGCATCTTTATTGGTGGTGATACAATGTTCCATTGCATTGCTGTATCAATTTAAACAATTTCATTTAAATGGATATATAGGTTATTTCCCATTTTTTTTCTCTTAGGAAATAATCTGCGTAACCTTCCTTGTAACTGAAACTTTAGCACATCTGTTATTTCTCTGGGATACATGAATACATTTCTAGATGGAAATGACTATGTCAAACTTATTAAGACCTTGAGTTCATTATTGCTAAATTGCCCTCCAGGGAGGGATTTTGTATGTAATTTTATTAATATTATTTTTTACATTCTAGGATGATGTTGTGGAGCAGTTGGGAGGGAGGGAGAGAGGGGAAAGAGGAAAGAAATGTGAAGGAGGAGGGGCAGGATTGAGGCCTGTGGCACCCCCCTCATTCCCACAGGGGAAACCAGGGGGCTTCCAGCGGTGGCCTGGTCATTGCCAGGCTGGGTGCAGATGCCGGGGGGTGTGGCAAAAGCCCTCGCCTCCCACCATCCCAGCTCGGGAACCTGGGGCCCTTCTCTGTGGCTTGGTGGTCATTGCTGGGGTGGTTGCATGTGTTGGGGGGGCGTGGCTGAGGCCTAAGGGCCCCTACCGCCCCGGCTGGGGAGAGCCTGCAGCATGGTCATAGCTAGGCTGCCTGGGTGTGTTGGGGGGGCATGGACGAGGACCTCGTCCCCCACCCTCGGGATTGGTTGTGGGTGTTGGGGAATATTGGTGAGGCCCCCAGCCTTCCCCCATTTCTGGCTTGGTAGCCCAGGGGACTTCCAGTCCTTCTAGGTGTTACAGGTGTTCTTTGGTGAAATGAGACCTTTACTAGTTAATATCAAACTTTGTCTCTGGTTGCAGTTACTTTGTTCTTTCTTTCATTTCTGTGTTGGATTATTTGCTGTTCCCACCATTTAAACTCTGTGCTGGAACTAATTTGTTGTCTTTTGTTTACTTCTAAAGTGGGGGAACTTCCTGTGGGGACCAGCACTTGAGCTGTGTGGTTGAACTGCATTGCTGCTTTGCTGTTGATTCCCTGGGGAAGGCTTTTTGTGCAGCTCAGATTTTAATGGTTGACTTTATAGGTACTTCCAGCTCGCCTGTGATCTGGTGCACCTGGGTTGTGTAGAAGCACTGATGTGGGCCTGAGTCTTTTTATCAAACTGCACCCCATGCAATTCTATATTCCTGACCAGGCTCCTCTGAGTGGTCCTTCGCTGATTAGGGTCAGGTCAGCTGTCCTTGCTGGGCCCCAGTGCTCTCCTGGTGGGCCCATCTCCCCCACTGTCCATGCTGCAACACTTCCCATGGGATTGGCCCTGCGCCGGTCCCTTGCGATGACTCACCGGCCTCTAAGTGGCTCCTTTTCCTCAGTTGTGGCTCCTTGCTCCTATGTGGGTCCATGGGAACCCTATTAGTGATCTTGCTGGCCTGGGGGCCACCATGGCCCTCTTCTCTCCTGCCACCTCCAAGCAATTTCATCCGAAGAGCACAGCTGTGGCTTTTGCCAGCTCCTGCTCTGTGTGCTCAGCAGCTCCAGCCTGGACACTACCGAGGCTCAAAATGGTTAGAGCAGTTTTTTCTTTCTCTTAAGTATATGGACTTGCTGAAAACCAAATTAAATTCTCCTGTTGTAGAGTTATTTGTGAGGAAGCACACAAAGAGGAGAAATCAAAGTATCTGGAAGAAAAGTGAGGTTGGATAGATGAAGACTTGTGAAATATATCCACACCATTCACTTTTGAAAGGTGTCCACTGCTAGTATGGGTCTGTTTGCAGCTACTTGGCAATTAGCATATTACCCAATGGCCCTTTTAATTGCCACTGTAATTCCATAGGATTTGTGGCAAATGTTATTCCAGTTTTGTAGGAAAAAATAAAATATGGGGAGATGAAGTGACTTGACAGAGTCTAATTTTGAGGAGTGGTTGAATTCCTACCTCCAATTACCTAGGAACCATATTTTAGGCTATCTTACAACTAGATATTTAGCCCTTATGCCTAGGGCACTATACTTTCATAGATGCTTAACAAGCTGTGTAGGTGTGAACTTTTCCCTTTGAACACCCAATCCAGCGTTTACATGGGTAACTCTGACAAATCATAGGCCTCTTTGAAGTCCATGGCAACTAGCCTTACCCTCTGCACTTCAAAATCTGTAACACTATTTGAGCTACAACATTACCAGTAGAATGACTGAATTACTTGATAATTATCTAAAGAAGTGATTCTCAACTCTGGCTGCCCACTAGAATCACCTAGGGAACTTAAAAAAGTACCAATCCCCAGGTCCACCCCAGAACAATTAAACTGGAGTCTCTGAGGGCACAACCTGGGCAACAGCTGGCTCTGACATGTGGCTAAGTCTTAGAAGCACAGGCTTTGGGTATTTCTTTGGCTATATATAGGCAAAGTACATCTGAGAGAAGATATGTGTAGGTTGGAAAGGAAGAGCCAAAGTCTTTGGAAAAGGAAAGTGAATTGTAATTTTCATAGCATTACTATTAATAGTCATCAATCCAAATTGACTGTGAGTATAGAATTTGTACTCATTAGATAATATCCCTCCATAAGGCTCACTGGGGTGGCATGTAATCTTTGAAATGTAAAGTTTGGGGAGGGCCCCTTCCCATAGTAAATTCCTCTCTGTTATAAGGTGACTCAAGAAATTTCATGCATCATAATTTCCATTTTATGTTAAGACCTTTACCCATACCCAAACAGCCCAAATATTTCCATCAAAAACAACGGAAGGGCTGGCCGGTTAGCTCAGTTGGTTAGAACATGATGCTGATTGCACGAGGGTCCAGGATTTGATCCCTGTACCATCCAGCTGCCAAAGAAAAAAATAATTGAAATGGGGGGCAGGGAGGGAGACAGAACTGAAACTTATAATGCACAGTGAAAAATTTAATGCATGGAAAGTCCATTTTAGAAAATTCCTGAGCATTATCAGCAACTAAGGGCATGGAAGACTTTCTGTGGCAACACGTTAAGGAGCAGCTGAAAGTTTTATCCCCATATCAAACAGCGGCTTAAAAATCTGTACAGGCTAATTAATTTTTTAATGATTGCCTTGAGGGCAGTCTGGCAGCTCAGCTGACACCCACTGGAAATTCAGTACCCTCCATGGGACATGCCTAGTTGGACTTGTAGAGAAAGGTGTTTTGTGTTTTAGCTTGTGGTTAGCGTTCCGAATGGGAGGAAAGTGTGGTAATTAGCTGGGTTCATGAGGTGTTTTCCACCAGGGTGTGCTTGGGTTTTCCACTGCGGTCTGACAGCAGTGAAGCTCAGCCTGTGCTATGAATGCTGCCTGGCTGAAGAGAGCATCTGGGGAGAGTGCATGCTCTCAGTTGACCAAGATATGTGCCAAAATTACCGATTGACATGTCTCCAAGAAAAAAGAAATGCCCAGAAGATATAGACATCCATTTAAAAAGAGAACTAAAGAAAAGTGGAGAAGGACCACTTGCTTTGGGTTTTATGCAGGATTGCTTTTTGCGTTTATATGTTGTTGGTGTCTGCTGGGCTGGCAGGGAGAAACTTTGTGGAGATTCTCTCCGGGCAGTTTTTCTCAAAGCATTTTGTGTTTTAATGTTCCCAGAAACCTCATGTTGAGGGGATAGGGATAAGGGGGCCACAAAGAAAGGGGTAGAGAAGATCTAATTAAAAGGACACCTGTTACTCCCAATACACAAAAGCACAAAAATTAGGTTTGGGGAATTTGTTTGTTTAACACTTAGTTCTTAATTAACAAAAGGATGGAAACCTAAAAGGGGATGGAAATGGAAAATGTTGTTAAATTTATGTATTTTTAATCTAACATCTTTTAAAATAAATATGAAAGATGATATTTTTCAACACTTTTAATTTGATATCCCTCAGGATGGAGCCACTGCACTCTTCCTAGCTGCCCAGGGTGGTTACTTGGATGTTATTCGATTATTGTTGTCTTCAGGAGCAAAAGTCAACCAGCCAAGGCAGGTAATGTTCATTGCTGATGTTTGCCCGAGTGCACGGGGAGGGAGGCGGGAGGGCCGGTGTTCTCTAGCAGCACATACCTGAGATAATCAGTCAGCTCTAGGCATTCTTTAAGCCCTTTTGCCTCTGTGATGAAAAGTTAATCTTTGATTAGGGTTTTTGCTGTACTATGCTTTGGGCTCACCCAAAATCCTGTGAAATCAAGCTGACATCACCATTCAGTACTTTTAAAATTCGAGTGTGTGGTGTTTGAGGTCAAGTACACACTCTGCCACCTCCTGTTCAAATAAATTATGGCTGCACTAAGCTAATGAGTATGGGCAAGCCTGGGACATAGGTAAATAGAACCGGGTCAGGTAGCCTCACCCCTGCCCAGTCCCTCTGCTGATATGCTGCCGTATCACCTACCCACCACTTCTTCCACCAAGCCAAGAAGGAATCCTTATTGCTGGAGTCATTAGTAAGTTCTGCACCTTCATCTCAGACAATTATAATGCTGAGATTTCATTTACCATCAGCAAGCTAACATCTAGCAAATCAATTAACTGATACTCAAAGGAACAGAAATGTAAGGTAATAGAAGCAGCACTTCATAAACAATAAAGAGCAATTCAAATGTAAGGCATTATAAGTAGCTTCTCTTATATAGGTACTATGTCTGCCCTAATTAATTTGTTTTTAACAAAACGTTTCAGATTAAGGAAACAGTACTATAAAGGTAGTTTTCTAAGGAGACGTTAAGCTGATTTCTTTCCAGTAAATAACATCCAGGCAGGTTTCCAGTGTAATATGACCTTATATGGGAATGCCTGTATGTTCACATAATGAATAGCTATGGGGACCTTAAGATTAGTCTGAGCTCTTGGCCACAGGCTTCTTCTGTCTTTAGAAGCACAAATACATAAGGAACCTGAGAAAAGGAAGAGCCTTTGGGCAAAGTGGGTTTGAGGTCAGGAATCCTGAATTCTAGACCCAGCTTTGTCAATAACTGGAGCTGTATGGTTTTACAAGTGAACCAACCTCTCTGGACCTCTCTTCACTGAAAATTAGGAGGCTGGGCAGGATGAGCCTGATGATCTCTTCAAGCTCCCAAATTTTTCATAATTGTTTTATTCAGTGTTCAATCAGTATTCCGTGAGTATTTATCATGTGCCAGACACTGCTATCAATGTAAGATTATATTTTTAGAATTTTAAAGTTATTCTTAGGCTTAGATGGCCCCATGAATACTCCTGGGAAAAGAAGCAGTTTAGAAAATGTACTTTCATCCCTGCCAGAGTTAACATTTAAGGATTGGAGTTTAATGTTTTCTTATTGGTCCCTCTTATTTTGAAATTGTTGATTGATTCTGAATCAGAGACTTCCTTTTACCAAAATTAATAAAAGGAATTGATCATTTTTGGATTGCAATATTTGATTTGTTGGCCATCATTGAAGATATCACTGTGGACTTAGAAATGAAAGATTATGAAGATTATCAAGTCTCCCTCTCAGTACCTCCTTCTGAAATAATTTCTGGCACTTTGACAAATTTATTTGTAAATAATTTTTATTATTCATATGCCTAAAGCACAATGGCAGAAAACCAAGTTGATGTAAGAGATATATTTCAAATGATGCATGGGTTGTGTCCACTAAAACCTAAATTGAGTCACGGGATGACATTGAAACCTAGAAGTTAAAGGGTAAACTAACATTGCTGCAGTAGCCACAGCACGCCCCACCTGTTTTTCATTTCTCAAAAGAGAGGATAACCTGGTCAAAGTGAATGACCTAGTTTGCATGTGAGGACCCACCCTCTGGTCAAGGAGCAAGTGATAACACCCTTCTAAAGACTGCATGGAGTGCAGTTGTTTTGAATTGTAAGAATCCAGCTCTGAAAAGATTGTTATTCACGAAAAGGGTGTTTTATAAAATAAGAATTGCTTTGGAGGAGAAAAGCAATGGAATTTTTCCTTTTTATAGAGTACAGTCACCCCATTGTGACCTCAAATCATAATAATTTTTAGTACCTGCTGTGAGCCTATAATTAGAGGCTGTTATCTAGCCAGGTCAGACTAGCCCAAGTTCTGTCTTTGTTAAAAGTGTAAACTCTGCATATTCATTCCATTCCAAGAAAACAAATAGTGACATAAATATGAAAAAAGTGATACTAGTCCTGGCTGACTTTGTCACAAGTTATAAGGAGTTTTGTTTTTCTTTTTAAAGCCTAATTAAAACTTTCCGTTAAAAATGGCCTGCACATAGTAGGATATTATATAGGTAAGACATCTGACAACCACTGTTGTTTCATTCTGAAATTTCATTATCGGAAAAGTTTTGAATTTACAAAATAAGAAATAAGGACAAGGATATTTGCCTGGTTTGATTTCTTAGTATTTTTAGGTAAATCTGATTTATAATTAGTGCTAACATTTTATGGTATACCGTGACAGGGCATTAACAAAGTTGCATTGAAATTACTCAGCTGACATTTGATCTGAGCTGCGGGGAATCCAAACTGTGGTAGGAATGACTTGTTTGTAACTCTATCAACTGAGAACTAAATGAAGACCGTTTTTACTACTTTGGGATGAGGACCCATAATCCCAAAGCAAACCACAGGCACGCATTGGAAAGACTTAAGTTCTGAGTTTGAAACTTGAAAATTTTTTCTTTCTACTTTGTCCTAGGTAAAGAGGTCAAGCAATCACTGAAATCCATAGTTACCCTAAAACTTTTTATTTTTTTCCATGTGTCCTCACCAAGTAGACTTGATATGAGTCAAACCTTTTTAATTACTAGCTCAAATGGCTAATCTATTTTTCTATCAACAAAATGCCTTGGCATATACTTTTCCCAACTCAGCTCAGCTGCCTTATCAAACCAATATTTCATAGAGTAGCAGAGGTCTGACTCTGTTTACCCAGAGCTGAGCTCTCTGCCTGTCATCAACTCATCTCTATCTGGTCCTCTTCATGTGCTAATCAGTATTTCCTTGAAGCCTGACAAAAAAGCCATCTAATAAAGTGCCTTCTCTAACAGAAGCCTTGGGTTGGTCTCAGAGTTGCTAGGACCCAGAAAGTAAATGTTCTTCCAGGTCGCAAGCTTGGAGGGGTTAACCCAACAGTGGGGAGAAAGAAGAACCAACAGATTGGCATAGAATCCTGAGGGTTTGGGGATGCAAGCAGACAGTCATAGAGGGCCCTACTGCTTGTCAAGGCAGCGACTCTGTCTTAGTCCCTCTGCACACGGTAGGCACTCAGAAAAGAAGTGTTGACTGCCAGAAGATACCCTGTGGCTTGGGCTAGAGCACCAAGGAGGTCTGGAAGCCTGCACCACATAGTGACATAGTGATCAGTGGCCAGGAACTAGAAGAAGGCTCCAGATGTAGGCCCAGGCTCATGGGTAGGACACCAGCCCCTGAAAGACTCCCAGAGGCAGCCAGAAAGCCAGACCCAGGTGAGTGGGGTGGCAGCTTGGTAGTTATGGAGATATGGATATCTTAAAGAAATGAAGCACAGTCCCAATTTTGCTTATTAACTGCATGACCTTGAGCAGGTTGCTTACTTTCCCCTCATCTGTTTTTTCATCTGTAAAACCAGGATAAGAATGGTGCCTCTGCCATAGGATTATTGTGAAATTAGGTAAAATAACCACTGCAAAATTCTAATGAAGTTGATATACACCAGCTGCTTAGTAAATGTTAGGTATTGCTATTATTATCATTCTTATTTCATCCAGGCCTCATTGGAACAGAAAGCCCATCAAAAATCAAGGTTGTACTTTCTTTCATGAGCCATGGTCCTTTTTTTGACCAGCTTCCTCTGCTTACTTATCTTGGGTGCAGTCCCCTAGTTTTCAGATCAGACTACCACACTCTTGGGAGAGCCATGGCATTGCTGCAGCTGATCCTTTTGCACCAGGCCACAGTGGACTGGCTGGCCTGCCCATCCTTGGTCCAGTCACCTGTGTCTGAGGAGAATGGGGTCAGACCATGGGCAATGCAGGCATCTGGTGACATCTTTACAGCCCCATTTGCTGGACCAGGGACACAGGGCAAGGGACACGGTAATGAGAAATGGGCTTCAGGTCAGGGTAGGGCTGGTGGCAAAGTTATCTTGATATTGAAACCCCTCTCCTACTGTCGAGGTGTCCCCAAGAGTCTGTCAGGCCTGAGCCAATAGGTAGAAGTAGCCCAAGTGTGAGGACTGGAAGGTGGTAGAAGCAAAGCCACTTTATATACTCATTCCCATGGAAGAAAATGATTTTAGTTCTTTTTTCTCGATAATCTTTAGGAGCCTAAATAAGACCATATGAGACAAGTCACTAATATAGGTCATGTCAAATACTCCATAACATCCTGTGATCTAGAGGATACTTGAAAATATTATCTCAAATGGAATGAGGGAATAACAGAGTTGGAAGGAACTGCAAAAGTCACCCTATTTAACCATCCATCCAGTGCTTGAATCCTTTCTGTAATAATCAGCCACCATTGAACAATCTAGGCATGGGGAACTCATTACTCTCTGGTCAGCTTATTCAGTTTATTAAAGTTTATTTCAGTATATTTTTTAACAAAGACAGAACTTGGGCTAGTCTGACCTGGCTAGATAACAGCCTCTAATTATAGGCTCACAGCAGGTAGCAAAAATTATTATGATTTGAGGGCACAATGGGGTGAGCCTTCATTATACTTTCTTACATTGACCCCCAAGTCTCTGTATAGCTTTCACCATCAATACTCTTTTTATCACTTGGTATGCAAAATGAGTCTAAATCCTTTTCTACTTAGTATGCAAACAAACAGTAAAGGACATGCAGCATAACCCCGTGAATCTTCTTCAAGCTAAATGTTCTGTCTCCTTTCTTTAAAAAGTGCTGTAGAGGTTCTAACTTCCACTTCATGGTGACTTTTTTTTTTTTTTTTTTTTTGACCAGTAAGGGGATCGCAACCCTTGGCACGGTGTGGTCCGCACCACGCTCAGCCAGTAAGTGCACCGGCCATCCCCATATAGGATCCAAACCCGCGGCCTCTGTGCTATCAGTGCCGCACTCTTCCGAGTGAGCCACGGGGCCGGCCCCATGGTGACTTATTTGATGAAACATTTTAAAACTACATATTTTTGTCAGGAAGTATTCAAAACCTTATTTAAATATTTTAAAATATGTTTCTATTCTAATTTTCTGTAAAACTCTACAGAAAAGGAGCTAAATTGACTTCATTTCCATCATTTTCTTTATGAAAATGAGGGCTCTAATCATTTCAATAGAAGGAAAAAAGAAAACAAATTGAGGTGTATAGAAAGAGAGGAAAACCTCTCCTGTTCACGAACTGGGTAATCAACTGATAAATAGTTGACAATAATGCTCTAGCCCACATTCAACTCCCTGGGTTCAAATATCGGATTTGGAGAAGTTATCATGAGTAATGAAATACCCACGTCACCCACCAAATTTTACCAGTCATTCCTACCTACTTACCAATCAATTATTTCACAGGGTCACTGGGAGTATCAAATTAAAGCAAGCATATGAAGTGCTTTGTGAACAAAGGTACAAATTAAGGTTCTTATTGTTTTTTTTTTTTTTTTGTCTTTTGTCTTTTTCCATGTCCGGCAACGGATCGCAACCCTCAGTGTCACCCCCGTACCGGACCGGGGACCGGCAACGGGATCGCAACCCTCGGTGTTGCTCCTGCGCCTCGCTCAGCCAGTGAGCGGGAACCGGTCTGTATGCGGGATCCGAACCCTCGGGCGGGAGCGCCGCCGCGCTTCCCAAGCGGCGCACTATCCAGTGCGCCACTGGGCCGACCCCTCTTATTGTTTTTCATGAACAGTAATACATTCAATTAACATCTTCTAAGCGTCTATTAGCTAATCCTCGTGCTCACCACCTCTACATGTTTTCACACTCTAATATCTCTGAAGCTAATACTGTTGCAGAAGAGGACACTGAGGCTGAGAGTGATCTGCCTAAGGCCTCAAAACCAGGAAGTGGTGACTGCTTTTTCCCTCTCCCATGAGTATTTCAATTAAGGTGATAGATTCGAGTGTTATCATTACTGTTATAAATTGATCATATTAATAATTGTTTCCGGGCCAGCCCAGTGGCACACTGGATAGTGCGCCGCTTGGGAAGCATAGCGGCACTCCCGCCCGAGGGTTCAGATCCCACATACAGACCGGTTCCCACTCACTGGCTGAGCGAGGCGCGGGAGCAACACCGAGGGTTGCAATCCCGTTGCCGGTCCCCGGTCCGGTACGGGGGCAACACTGAGGGTTGCGATCCATTGCCGGACACGGAAAAAGACAAAAGACAAAAAAATAAATAAATAAAAAATAATTGTTTCCAATGTAGCACCTTCTCAGTGCTTTTCCACATATTATTGTCAATTAGTACAAGCCCTTGAAAAGCACACGAACGGGCAGCGCACTGTCCTTTTTGCTGCTGGCTGCCTTTCTCTGCCTGCCCTCTGGTGGAGAGACCCACAAACAACAGAATGGAGCCAGAGCAGGCAAGGAGGGAGCAGGGTGCCAGCACCTGAGTTCCAGAGAATGTTCCTGGATTCTCTGCCTGCCCTCTGGTGGAGAGACCCACAAACAACAGAATGGAGCCAGAGCAGGCAAGAAGGGAGCAGGGTGCCAGCACCTGAGTTCCAGAGAATGTTCCTGGCAACATTCGAGGCCTTCCGGAGCCCAGACTCACTCTCCTGCCTCCCAAGGTCCCATAAACCCCTTGTGCAACAGTAGCTGGATTTCCTGTCCTGCCCCAAAGGGCCATGCCTGTCCAAACCACTGTGAATGTGACTGCTCTTCCTTCTACCCAGAATGACTGTTCACCTCTCACCTACCTGGCAAAATCCTGGTACTCCTTCAAGACCCAGCTCAGCTGCCTCCCCATCTGCGAAGCTGACCCTGTAACCTCCCACACAGTAAGGGGACCCTTCTCTGGTGCACTTTGTGCATTTCTGTCTGCACTTTTTTGCAGCACTGCAGTTATACTGAAATTTCCATGTTTCTTTTCCACTACTAGTTTTTAGTACTCCCAAGACTTAGAAGACACTTAATTGACAGTTGCTTGAATGAATGAATGATTGATTAAATCCTGAATTGGGAGAATCAAATAAAGAATGTGAAAGTGTTTTGTAAACTAAAGTACAAATTAAGGTATTATTTATCATTGCTAGTGATAAGTAATATTCAAATTCAACAATATTGCCAAGAGGCCCCTAGAAAAAGCACAAAGTAGGTAGAAGTGTCTTCAGCTTCCTCCATCCTTTGTTTCAGCACCTCTTCTCCCAGCTCTCCCAAGACAGAGGTGTCAATGCCCTCTGACTGCCCCTCTGCACCCCCAGATCCTCCTGGGCTCCTGCTTTGCCATTGTTTACCACCCCACTCAGACATCTCCATCCTCGGTCCCTTTGTCAGGACAGCAATGGGCAATAATAATGGGCAATTATCCTGTGCCTGCTTTGGCTAGTAGGCTGGGGCTGAGATTACATACTACTGCAGAAAATGTCACTTTATATTCTATAACTGAATCCTCTTGCTTTTCAGCTCACATTCCCACTGATGGGTAATTCAGTGTTACCTGGCTAAAGCAGCCTCTTGGGGCCACAATAATACCGTAATTACCTCAAAGATTAAATTTAGCCCAATCTAGACCCTGCTCCCTCCTCCTGGCCTTCTCTTCAAAATGACCTAAGTTCTCAGGGGTCAGGCTGTCACCATGGCATTGGGACAGCGGTGTGGACACTCATGTCTGGCTCTCGTGCTAGCTTCTCTGGTCCCGAAGCAGCCTGCACTGGTACCCCAGAGATGCACCTTTTCCCACCATGATGCTGGTTCCACCATAGTTTCTGCTCATAAAGTCATGACTCTCTATGTCCTTGTCCTCCCAACCTCCCAACCTCAGGCTTACTTCAGGGTACACTGCCCTAACACTTCTGATTTCCCAGAGTTAGGAGGGGACTCTTCGATGCCCAGATGCCAGTGGATTGGGGGATGTCTCAGGTCCGTTGGCCCAGACAACTTCCATGGGCATTTTTCTTCCATTTCTCAGGCACCAGATAAGAGCAGAGTTTCTCTAAGGAGCTTGCAGTCTTCCTGGGCTTCATCTTAAGAAAGGGAGAAAATCCTTCCCCATAATTTATCTGGGTGTTTCCACCACCCCTGGCTTACCTCCCCACCCTGCGCACCCACACCCAGATTCAACCCAGAGGGGGAGGACAACATGTACAACTACTTCTGACCTCTGCCCCTTCCCACCCCTCTCTAGCTCCTCTTTCCCTCACTGGAAAGGTTTTCCATTTTCCATTCCATCAGGCAGGAACCACCCTACCGTCAAATCCTTCTCGGTCCCTTGGATATTTTACCTTTTCTTCTCTGCAGCAGTACATCGCAGCCTTATGGCCTAGTGTTCATGGCAACAGAGATGCTGGGGAATGATATGCAGGAAATATTACCAAGAATGTCTTGCTATAAATAACGTGCATCACCTCCAAGAAGACACAACATCACATTCCACATAAAAATAAGCTCCCTAAAAAAATGATGTGGCTGTGGGGGATTTTGAGCACTGGAATAGACGAGCAGGAGACCTCGGAGGAAACTGCCCACTGTTCTGTGAGAATGCGGGGCTATACACTAAGCAGGGTGTGTCGTGTGAGCGTTAACGTGAGTGCGACCCACCAGGAAAGGACAGAAATGGCCAGAGCCCAGGAGGAATACAGCAGGCCGGCCTCCGCTCTGGGCTGTGGAATCTGGTTCTGCGGTGCTGTGCAGCTCAGCTGCTCCCTTGAGCTACCCCGGATCCGTACCACACCCTGGGAAAAGAGCCGGCCGCAGAATGGCTCTTTCATAAGCCAGAAATTGACTGTCGGCTACTGAAGTGGTCCGGGCACCGCCAAATGCCAGGGTGTGTCAGTGGGTTAAAAACACCCTCTTTTCTCGAGACCTCCTGGGTGTGTGAATCAGCCGCAGACACGTGGTGTTCAGTGGGGACGTCCCGTGTCGCGGCGGGTGCGAGCGTGCCTCTTCTCTCCGCAGGACGGGACGGCGCCGCTGTGGATCGCGTCCCAGATGGGCCACAGCGAGGTGGTGCGGGTGATGCTGCTGCGCGGAGCCGACCGCGACGCCGCGCGGAACGTGAGTGCGGGGACGCTCCGGCCACCGAGCTAGCCGCTCGGCCAACGTCGCTCACGGTGCACGGAAGACCGCCCCTTACTTAGCCTGCGGCTCATCTGGGTTTCCTCCCAACCTCCACCTGCCCTCTAGCAGGGAAACAAAGTCAAAGTCAGATCCTATCAAACTTTGCAGATGCTGCTGGGTCCCTCTCCTCCTGCACCAGAGAGCACCTCTGGACGAACAGCCGAGGGCGGTCAGCCTCAGCTGGCGGCAGTAGGGGACCCGGGCCTCAGGCTTTCCAGGGCGGGGGGCTGAGGAGGGGGGCGTCCCTAGCTGGTGCTGCGCGCCCGCTGGCCCCTGGGCCGCAGTGCAGCTGGGGTGGTGTGGGTCAAGCAGTGCCACAGTCCCCTCCCCCGCTGGCTCGGACTCCCCCCTGCTTTCTGGAGCTGCAGACCCTTGCACCTCACTGTCGGCCCATTGTCTCCACTTAGCCTCTGCTGGTGTCACCTAATTCTGCCTAGGTGCACCCCACAGCAGGCCCTTTGTCCCATAGGAACTAAAGGCGACGTGGAGAGAGCTGTCTGACCACTGTATTCTGCTTGCTCTCTGGGCCTTGCTGTCTGCCCTCTTCGCTCTTATATTACCCTGGCTTATGTGACCCACCTTCCTCTCTCCAAGTCTAAGCCCAGAAAAGGGAAATTAGAAGACAGGTTCCTGACCACTTCCCGGTCCTTTCTCCCACTTTCTGTTCCTTCTTCCCACAGTCTCTGAAGCCAGAAAAGAAAAATCCCCTAATCCCAACTTCCTTCTTCCCGATTCCAGATAAAACCTAATGGCAGGGTGAATTCCTGAACCACAAAACTCTGTGGGCTAAGTCCTCCAAACATGGCTATTGATATGTTAAGGCAGGAGAAAAGGGGAATTTGGAAATTTTCTTCTTGGGCCAAAGAATGACAGAAGCAGAATATTAATTTTTGAATTAGTCTTTGCATTGTTTTAAAACAAATTTCAGTCTATCTCCCCTGGCCACTCACCCCACAAAAATAGGCAAATAGATACCTAAGGCATGGGGCAAGGTTGTATGAATTTTTAGAACAGTAAATACAGCTCAAAATAATAATTCAACTCACTAAAAACAGTTAATATTTGCTAAGTCATGAATAGCAGAGAATGCCTCTTTGGTCCATAAATGCCCTAAAAATAGGCTCTTGAAATTCCTCATGTCTATTTACCCAGTGTTCTAAGGGACCAGAAGAGTATGAATTCCCAAATGGCAGGGTTCTACGGTAATATAAACAATCACATATTTTATCTGATATTCTTTATGCAGAATTAAACTGCTTAATATGTTCTAAAATTCTCCGGGATTGAGACATTGCTGATCTGTGCTTAGTTCACACATTGTATTAGTCTGTTCCTGTTGCTTATAACAAAATACTTGAAACTGGGTGATTTATAAAGAAAACAAAATTTATTGCTCACAGTTTCTGAGGCTGGAAAGTCCAAAGTACGTCTGGTGGTGGCAACAGTGACCCAGGTGTCTCATTGCAGATGGTGGAAGCAGAGAGAGCAGAGACAGACTCTTCTCTTCTTTTAAAACCCTCAGAACCACATCCAGGCCACCATTTTTAATCCATTCACTACTGCACAGTCCTACCACATCTTCAAGGCTCCACCTTGCAATTACCATAACAGGATTTCCCACCCTGTTAACAGTCACGGTGGGGGCTAAGTTTCTAATACATTAAACTTGGGAGACACAATTCAAGCTTCAATGAGTTTTGGGGGACATAATCCACTACACACATTTTGCCTGTTTCTGACAATTGTACTCCCAGTTTTCAACTGACATTTATATCTTAGCCAGCACAGACATATTTTAATAATCAACTTTTATTTTCTTTTCTCTGTTAAGGACGGGACAACAGCGTTATTGAAAGCAGCCAACAAAGGATATAATGCTGTTATAGAGGAATTACTTAAATTCTCACCTACTCTTGGTATTTTGAAGGTAAGATGTAAAGAAAAATTTTACCAATCTGTAAAAGAGCAGTTAGGAAATAATTCCATACTTGGGGACTGTAGTAGAATTTGGGTATAATTAGCCTGGTTAATTGTATTCTTGAAAGAACACACCTACAGCTTCTTGATGATGGCCATCCAAGGGCATAGGTAGACATGAAAAAGTGGTTAAAAGTCAACTGGGGCCGAGCCCGTGGTGCACTTGGGAGAGTGCGGCGTTGGGAAGCGCAGCAGTGCTCCCACCACGGGTTCGGATCCTATATAGGGATGACTGATGCGCTCACAGCGCTCACTGGCTGAGCGCGGTGTGGCCGGTCTCAAAAAGGACAAAAAAAAAAAAAAAGAAAGAAAAGAGTCAACTGGAGTCTGTCACTGCCTTGTTTTCCAGAAAAAAAAAATCACAGCGCTCACTGGCTGAGCGCGGTGTGGCCGGTCTCAAAAAGGACAAAAAAAAAAGAAAGAAAGAAAAGAGTCAACTGGAGTCTGTCACTGCCTTGTTTTCCAGAAAAAAAAATTTTTTTTTAATTGAAGCATAATTGACTATACATATTTTGGGTTGGCTATCATTATTTGCATACAAGCTGTGATCAAATCAATATTATTAGCATATTCATTATTACAAATCATAATTATTCCTTGCATCCCTTACCCACAGGAAAAAAATAGTAGTAATGAAGTTGCTAAATTGGAAAGCAAACTATATTGATATCATTTGGAGGATTTTGAAATCAAGGAAGAACAGACACATACATTCCTTCTCTTCATTATCTTGAGCAAAGAACCACTGTGCTTTGTTACCTTAGGTGAAATGAAATAAACCCCAAATAGTTTGAAGTCTCAAAAAATATGTCATTCTGGAGGAAACAGAGCCCTGAAACTCTTAAGTTTTAATCATTTTGGATTTAAATGTTTCTAAATTATAGTATACACCAGGGGTCAGCAAACTTTTTCTGTAAGGGCTAGATAGTAAAGATTTTAGGTTTTGCAGGCCATAGTGTCTCTGTTGCAACTGCTCAACTCTGTCATGGTAGCACAAGAGCGCCATAAAAAGTACAAAAAGAAAAAAAAAGTGGCTGCATTTCCATAAAACTTTATTTATGGACATTATATTTATGGAATTTCATGTCTTCGTGTTATAAATATTCTTCTTTAAAACTTTTTTTTATCATTTAAAATTGCATAGAAAACTCTTAGCTTGCAAGACATATAGAGGACAGGCTGGATTTGACCCACAGGCCGTACTTTGATGACCCCTAGTATACACACTCCTGTTTTCTTAAGCCAAGATACCAAATCTGTTCTCAATTGGCACAGTGGCTTAGCAGCTTTAGAGCTATGCCCTCGGGGTTTATCAATGTAAAATCTCCTTGCCCTTGAGTGACCCCAGAGGCTTTTTGGATGCTGTGCCTGCTCTTTGTATTTTTAGGCTCCATTCTTGCTGTCAGCTCATGCAGAGCGCTGTTGTATTTATTGGCCCCTCTCCCCTGTCCTAATGAGCAACTTCTAATCATCCATGAGCTTGGAAGCCAGGAAGCTGCACTTGTTAAAATTGTTTATAAAGTAAGAATAAACCATCTATGAAAGCGAACTCTGTGAATAAAAGGAACGAGCTTCAGAAATGGATTTTGCAATATCTAGTCTCATTTCAAACAGCTCTTTTTTGGCTTCATTTTTTATTCTTAGTCATGTTGCTAATGTGTGAAATTGATAGGTTGGTTAAGATTTAGACAAGTGAAATGTTACCAGATTAGGGAATTATCATACATATTATAAAAGCAACCAACTACCCTGATTTGATCACTTCACATTGTATACGTGTATTGATATGTAACTCTGTTCCCCATAAAAATGTGCAATCAGTATGTTTCATTTAACTAAATAAATAAAAATAAAAGCAACCACAGAAAAATGCTACTTTGCTGGAATTTTTCTCTGTGTAATTTTACTCATAAAACCAAAGTGGTTTTTATTACTAGTAGTTCATTAGGAAACAAAGCTTGCACTGAAGTACTAATTATAAACGTATGTATCATCTAGTACCAAGGTCATATGACTGCCTATTGTTCTTAAATTGCTCCCCATAGATCCTCTCCCCTCCCAGATCCAGCTGTATGCTGCATGTAACTTCTTCCTTATTTCAGTAAATATTTGCAGTAAATTTCATAAAACATTGGCATCCCATCTACTAAGACTTTCTGTGCTCAGAAATGCTCCAGCTCACTCATATACTCTTCTTCTTAACCCCTGTAACTCCACAGCCCTCTCCTGGTATGCTGCATGTAACTTCTTCCTTATTTCAGTAAATATTTGCAGTAAATTTCATAAAACATCGGCATCCCATCTACTAAGACTTTCTGTGCTCAGAAATGCTCCAGCTCACTCATATACTCTTCTTCTTAAGCCCTGTAACTCCACAGCCCTCTCCTGCCTGAGTGAGCAGTGTCTGAAGCTGAGCTAATAGGTTGACCCATGGGCTAGGAGCCATTCCTTCAGCCTTGCTGGGAGTGGCTCACCAAAAGTACAAAGACTATATGTTGTCCTTGAAGAAAAAAAAATGTTTGGCACAGCATTGTTGTTTTTCCTGTGGCAAGTCCTAAAGTCTATAAAACTGAATGACCATGAAGTCATGGGTATGCACACTGGGCCAGATTCCTTGTTTCACTTGCAAAACAACATTGGCAATATTTATACTGACGATCGGCTGCATATCTGAGGACTCTATAATAGGTGCTGGTGAGACTTTGAAAAGGATGAGGGAGGATGAGGAAGAGCAAGGCTCTGACATTACAGATGGTAATGTCTCCCCACTCAGATGGTTTATGGTGAAAGCCAAAGTAAGTGCTGGTGGCTGTGAGCTCTCTCCTGACACACACTGTCAATTTCTCTTAGAATGGGACATCAGCACTCCATGCGGCCGTGCTCAGCGGAAATATTAAAACAGTTGCGCTGCTTCTGGAAGCAGGAGCAGACCCAACCCTGAGAAACAAGGTAACTACTCACTTAACCCATCTTTTAACTGCACTGGGCTCCTGTGCACAGAGGTAAGACTGAGTCCTCCTGAGTCAGCATAAACATCTCTCTGGCTTCAATCACAATCTTCATGCTTATGCATAGTAAGGGCATGCAAGGTTGCTATTAGTATGCTGTCAGTGAGCAGTGCACTTGGACCCAGGGAATTGTTCTAAAAACCCTGTAGGATTAATATAGGGTTTTCAGTTAAAAACGGTGCAGCCTCCTGGTAGGGATGGGGGTTGAGGGAGGGCAGTCATTATGAAGAGCAAGTGTTATTCTATCAGCAAAGATGTGCCCTAAAAATGTCAAAGTTGTGGTAGTTTATCACCATCCCCATAAGTTGGATGTTTATGTCCTGAGAATTGCTTGTGCTATGTTTGGTGACTACATTGGAAAAATGTTGCCTTTACAATACAATAGGAGTACACGCCACTGTTACAAAACCAACCCATTTTGTTGTTGTTGTTCTAAATCCTTAGTTCACAATTAGCCCAAACTTGGAGGTGGGCAGGTGCACAATAATAATAGAAAAAAATAATTGTCACTGTACGTCCTCCTATTCAACTTCTGCTTAAGCTGTCACATGTACAGATTGCTGGGGAGGAGAATAGTATAGGAAACACTACTAATCTACTACTAATCTTAGTCTTGAGAAAACACACTAATCTACCAACTTCAGGAGGACACGGGATTGGTGGTTATTAATAGGGGAAGATATGAAAAACAGCTTTCACTTTATGCTTACATACTCTTTGAATTTTTATAAGCATCTATGACTGTTTTAACTTTTTAAAAAATAAAAACAAAAACATATAGCATTTTGTGACATTTTGAAAAGAAAACATTAAGCAGTGCCAATTAAACAACATACCAAAGGCCACTTTCTTATTTTACTTAGCACACCGAAGTATTATTTCCCTACTCCTACCATTGAATTGCTTGAAGATAACATTTTTGCTTATTTCTCCTGAGACATAAAGTATTTGGATTTGTTTTTCATTAGCTGGTCCAGCTGTGTGATAAGCCAGCTGAAATCATAATTGCCTTTCTTTAGATCTTATCTTTAGACTTTGTATACAGACTTCCTAAAGAGATCAGTCTTTGCAGGTGAGCTATCCAGTACTGAATTAAGGCAAGGGGGAAACGTTTAGTACCTTTGTTTAGAAACTGAAAAATGTGATTCCATGTGTGTCTCCTAGAATAATGGAATAACCATTAGCAGTAATGGTTATGGGTAGTTTCCAGTGGGTAATTTCCAGTTTTAGTTTCCCTAAAATTACTTGAATATATGTGTGGGCATTCATGTTGGAGCCTCATACTGCAGAAGCCCTTAGAGACCTGAGAATAGCTGCCAGAGAAACCCCCATGAGGCCTCTAGCCACCCCATAAAAGCCAGCCTCTTTAATGGCAACTCCAGAAGCAAGGGTGTTGGGACTCCAGCAACCACCCAGGACTTGAAGGGATATTCTTGGTCTTCATTCACTCATTCAACAAATACTGATCACCTGTGGTCAGCACCTGTACTAGATTCAGCGCACTGTACTGTGTGCTGGGGATACAATGGTGAATAAGATTTACATAGTCTTTGCTTTCAGGGAGCTCAGAGTTTATTGGGGAATAAAGACAATTAAACAAGCAATTACATTACAGAATGACAAGAGCTGTAAGCAGGGAAGTAAAGAATACTATTGACGGCTTCCCAGGAAGAATAACTTCTAAGCTAGTACAGAAGCACTCTTCTGCTCCAGGGGTTCTAGGAGTTCTGCTCTGGGGCTTTGAGGCGGATGCCTGGGGAGAGGGTTAATCAGTGGCTCCAGCAGCCACTCATCACTCTATAGCCATCCCCATGGGTGCAGGGGTCTTGTGTTCCCAACACTCCCAACTCAGAACACATCTTCTCCCAGGAACAGTGGAGAAATATAGTGCTTTTATGCTGTAGTATCATTAACATGGACCTGTGGTCCTGCTCCATATGAATAAAATGGCATTTAAGGGTAGCCTGGGCACTAGCCATCACAACAGTCCACACAACCTCAGCAACCTGCAAATTCAGTGGGCATGAATCGAGAGAAAGGAGGAATGAGACCAGCTTTTTAGAACTGTATGGATGACACACAGAATGGTGATGTGATGGACCAAATCTTGACAACACACTTTGAAGGCATAAAGCTTTTTTTAGTGGCAGAGGATATGGACATGGTCACACAGCGCAGCTGATAAGTCAGCAAGCTGGCAGACAGAGGAACAGCTTCTTATCTCCCTTCTTCTTCATGACTGTGGTGCATCCTCTGGCTACCTGCCATCCTGCTCACTGTGGACCAATAACTGATGCAGACAGCTCAGTTATTCCTGAGTGTTTATTCTGGGACTGGATGAAGTTTAGGCCTGTTACAAGGAGCATTTTTCCACAGGCCCTGGCGTCAGGTCTATATGTGAGAAATGCCCTCACTTGTCCAATGACAAAGGATGGACTCAGAAACTAATTACCATCTCAATGAAACAACTCAGATAAGTCATTTCTGAAAATGAATCACTTAGATTATTTTCTTATACTGTACAATGTCTGTTCCTGCAGGAACTAAGCTAATAGTAGACTCTGAGCCCATAGAGGGGCCTCTGGTATAGTGATATAGCATAGCAATTTCCTCTCTGATCCACCAGCATCAACATCAAAGATCCCATGTGGTGGGCCAGGGTGCAGCAATAGGACATGCTGTACAGCAGATCACTTGTGGCAAACTCATAATTCCCAATAAGTGCGGGTGGAGGTCCGGGAGCAGGATCTTGCCTAGAAGTCAGGAGCTGCAGGGGCTTCACCTATGATCAAGGTCCCATATAAAGCAGCTTGGGTTCCAGGCATGGCTGCAGGAAAAAAAATATGTGAGGCAGGTAACATCTGCATCCAAGCCCTCTCCCCCATTCTTTATTCCCTTCTACCCTTTAATGGCTCCCCTGATTCCCCAGAACATCCTTTTGACCCTCTGTAACAACAGTTCTCAGAGCATGATCCATGAACCCCTTGAGGGTCTTCAAGACCCATCAGGGAGTCTAAGAAGTCAGAACAATGTTCTTTATAATACCAAGATGTTATCCGCCTTTTCCACTGGGCTGACATTTGCTCTCATGGTGCAGAAGCAATGGTGGGGAAACTGTTGGCGCTTAGGACACATCAAAGCAGTGGCACCAAACTATACTCACAAAACAGTGTACAAACCCTTGTGGGTTATTTTACAAATTTTGTAAATTATTTTACAGAAATACCAGTTTTCCTTAAGAATGTCTTTGATAAAGCAGTAAAAAAATGTTGATTTTATTTACTCTTAACCCTTGCTACCCATCTTTTTAATATTCTGTGTGACAACATGGGAAGTCTGCACGGAGCACTCTGCTGCATGCTGAAGTGCAATGATTGTCTCAAGGACAAACACCTGTGAGGCTGTTTGGATTACAAAGAGAACCAGCCACTTTTTTTCATGAAATACTATTGTACTTGAAAGAATGACCCAAATACACCACTGTGAGCTTAACAGCTTCCCAATACTAAAAGGCTTTTCTGATGAATCAGTAGTAATAGTAATGAGTGTGACTTTTTGGTATTGCACAATGAGATGTGCCAACATGTGGAGGATCTGCATAATTCAGTGAACTAATATTTTCCGAATGAGCAGTGCATGATGTTACAAATAATGCACCTATAAAGTAGATAGTCCTGTGGGCTTTAATGTAACAGGGTACAAAAAGTTCACTGATGTGGTTTCAGATATCATACGCACTGCAATTAACCTTTAAGAAACTACCACTTGTCGAGCATTGGTGTAGCATCAAAGAGGAATACCTACAACAATTTGAAAAGACTGTTAAAACACTCCTCTCTTTTCCAATTACATATCTATGTGAAGCTGAATTTTCTTCATATGCTTCAACTAAAACAACGTATCACAGTAGACTGTATGCAGACGCAGATGTGAGAATCGAATTGTCGTCTCTTAAGCTGCACATTTTAAGAAATATGCAAAACTGTTCAACAATGCTACTCTTCTCACTAACTTTTTTATTTTGAAAATTCAGTTTTTTACAAGTATGTTATTTATGTTAGCCTGTAGTGGATTTATTATTTTTAATTTATAAACATATATTTAAAATTTTCTGTTTTAATTTTTTTTTTTTTTTTTTTTTTAAAGGATGACCGGTAAGGGGATCTCAACCCTTGGCCTG